TCAGTTTTCTGATGAAGGGTCTAGGCCCGAAACGTCAGCCTTTCTGCTCCTATGATGCTGCTTGGCCTGCTGTGTTCATCCAGCTCTACACCTTGTTGTCTCAGATTTTCCAGCATCTGCAGTTCCTACTATCTCTCACTTCATTAATATTCAGGTTTCTAATTTACCAAACTTCGTTAACAAGTAAGATATCAATAAAATATTGGCATGGAAACCAGTGTTGGTACCTGCCAAATTCAGCCTTCCACTTCCTTGGAAGGACCTGCACATCAGACACTAGGCAGCATCATCTCAGGGCACACTCCATTGGCACCCAGCCATACACATCCCATTTCCACAGGCATTGGCATTTGATATGTGCCAGCCCCTAAGAACCATCATGGCACATCTCTGATCCACTTCTGCACATCAGTGTTGCACCTCAGTTGCACTGGTAACTATCGTTGTAATACTGCAGCAAGGATGTCGTGTACTCAGGGACACACACCTAACTCGTGGACTGAACCAGGCTGCATTTTTGGGCACTTCACTCACTGTCACAGTGTTCACTGTATCCTACCTGGATGCTCATATCATCTCTGCCTTGCATGGTCTTGTCTTGCCTTGCTGCACATTGCCCTGTCGACCAGAGAAATCTAGCTCATATTATTTCAGTCTTGCCTTGCCGTTTAGCACAGACGCAAAGGAAGGAAGTTTGTCACGGTTATCAGCAAGGCTTCAGTCAAGTCGAGGGGGGAGCCTTTGCTCAGGGGATCCAGGCACAACAAATCAAAGCCAGCCTCTGATATCAGTCCAGGGCATGGAAAGAGTTTGTCAGCCCCATGGGGTGGACAGAAGCTCACCAAATAATGGGTGAGAAACTGAATAACTGGCAGTGTTTCACCTGTCTTCAGTCATTCTACACTACTGGGGACTGCTTTCTTCTGGAATGTGAGGGAGATTAAAGTGTGGAGCTCTGTTACTTTTTTTGTTGCAGGTGGGGAGGTGTCCTGACTGAGTAGGTAGCACAGTGGGTAAGTAATTATGGTGGTGTCAGTGGTTAGGGTACGCAACAGAATGTGAAGAAAGATGTTGCAAGCATTCATGAGAATGATAGACCATTAACCTCAGAGGGAGGTGGGTACTATATTCAAGGTAGTGAGTTAGAGTATTGGACTATCAGAGAGAAGATGACAGAACCTACGCTGGTGGAGTGGAGAAGACAGTTGATCTTTCTCCTACAGTGCTGTGCATTCCTCCAGATGGCTGAGACTGCTTTAACTCAGGTGTTAACCTCAGACCAGGCTGGCATGTTACGGTGGTCCTGGGGAAGTCCTGCCTCTAAACCAGCCCGTACAGCAGGATCTCTCCCTTCCCCGTAGTGGGTTATCAAATTCCTTCTGAATGCCACTACAGGGGTAAATGTCAGGAACCGTACAGGATAGCTTGGGACTAACAGTGTTTGTCCAGGTGCATGTTGGGCTTTTAAAGATGGTGTGGGCACAGGGGATGTTGGTGAATTCTGGGATATCCATTGAGTGGTGAGATGCTCTGGGAATTGCTTTATGATAAGATGGGGCCTGAATAGGAATCAAGATACGCCATGGGGCACGGTAGGTAAATATCACAACCTAGCTACACGAACAGTGGCATTGTGGTCATGTTGCAGATTTAATAATCCAGAGGCAGGATTAATATTCTGAGGGCACAAGTTCAAATACCATTACAGCAGCTGCTCAAGTTTTAACCAATAAATTGACAATACAAAGCTTTTTATCAGTAACATTACAATGGAAATCAATAGATTGAACAAGATCCTAACTGTGACAATGATGTCCCATCGTGAAGGAAAAATCTGCAGTCTTTAACCTATTTTACAACATATGACTCCAGACTGAGCAACACGATTTACTGTTAACTGCCCTCTGAAATTGCCTACAGTCTGAAATTGCCCAGCAAGTCCTTTGGTTGTATCAAGCTGTCCAAGAAATGAGAAAGGCAGGACCTGCCCAGTTGACACTGCAAAATCTTCCTCACTAACCTTGGGTTACATACGTAAAATTGAGCATCTGACCTATAAACCAGTCAGTCAATCATTTTCATCAAACTATTCCCTATATTCAGTACCAGGACTCCTCCAACACTATCCCTGAGTACATCCGAATCCAGCAGCAAGACAGATCAACAAGAATCATCCACATGGCAGAATGGTGTACTATTTGGAACTGATGTCAATGGGATTCCTAAATATGGACTCCAAACCCCATGGAGTCTTATAGAATCAGGTCAAACTTGGAGAAGGAAGCCTCCTTATTACAACCTACCACCACAACCCACCCCACAGCCAATGGAACCATGCTTCTCTTACTGAGAATGCTTGAAAGAAGCTCTGATGGTAACAAGGGCACAAAAAGTAACCTGCCAGGGGGGGTGGGTGGTCTCAATGTCCATCACCAAGGATGGCTTGGAACACATGGCTGAGTCCTGAAGATTATAGTTGCTGAACTGGGTCTGAAACAGAATGTGACAGAACCAACCATAGGTAAAAATCTACTTGCTGTGGATGCATTAATCTGTGACAGGCCTGATTGGAACAGAGATAAGGACACTGTTATTGCACCACAAGAATCCCAGGATCACCTAAGACAATATTCTAAACCCAACCATTTTCAGCACTACATTAATTATGTTTCCTCCAATGCAAGGTCAGAGATGGGATTTTCATTGATGATCGCACAGTTTTCAACACCAATCATGGCTCCTCAGAAACTGCAGCATTTGACTCCCCATGCAGCCAAACCTGAACAACATCCAGTCTTGGGGCTGCACCAAACTATTGCCTGGCAATGTCCATCTCCAGCAAGACAGAATTTATTGATTTCCCCTCGATGTTGAATGGAATTAACATCACTTAAACCGTACTTTCAAAATTCAGTGGATTACTATTGGTCAGAAAATAAATTAGACAACTGTGTCAATCCTGTAGCTATAAGAGCGGATCAAGAACTGGGAATTCTGCAGCAAGTAACTCACATCCTGTCTTCCACAATACATGTCCATAATCTGCAAAGCACAAGTCAGGAATGTAATGGGATACCCTCAATTTGACACTTCAATGGAGTACTGAAAGAGTGCAGCACTGGTTGGAAGCACCTGCTCTCAGTAGTTGTAAAAGATCCTACAATATTTGGATCTTAATCAACATCACTAAAATGGAGTTCTAGTCATTATATCACATTGTTGTTTATGCTAACTTGCTCAAATAGGCTGCCACATTTTCAAATATTTCCATGGTCTCACTCTTCCCAAACTCTAAACTCTTCCAACCTCACATCCTCTTGGGATTGTGCACTAATTCTGGCCTCTTGAGTATTGCCAGTTCCATCATTTGTCACTGTGTATTCAATTGCCTAGAATCAAAACTGTAATTCCCTCTCTAACCCTCTGAGCCTTTTGACCTTACTTTCCTCATTGAAGACACTACTTGTTTGACCAGGCTTTTTGTCATTTGATTTAACATCCTTTTCAGTGGAGATATTTATTAAAGATTCTGTATAGACATAAATCCTGTTAATTTTCAAAGAAGCCACATAAGAACATTGCCTTATCCACCTTATTTGAGACCTAATTTTTTTAAAAAATCAATTAGATTAATTAGATCCGATCAACACATTACAAATTTGTGTCTAGAATGAAGTCTCAGGTAATGACAGATTCTAGCAGCTTTCACAACTGCTATTGTCTTGCCAAATTCTCTCATTGACGAAGAGATTGGTTGACTATGAAGGCAGGAAGTTGTCAATAGTTACATCAATAGCCAAAGGTTGGACTTACCCAAGCATTCATTCGCTTCTCTAAGAGTTGCTCTTTGCCACGGTCGGTCATAGTGAAAGGGTTTGCACCTGTCACACTCTGGCCCAGCGGTGTTGTGTTTACAGTCACAAACCAGATTGCCCTCTTTGTCTTTGACGCAGCGTGAAGCATGCCCGTTACACTTGCAGCGCCCACCGACCTGCAAGTCAGCCACTGCGTAATGGTAGGCCTCTCTCACCATACTCCCCTCGTCCTCCTTCCCGTCTCTGCCACTGTAATGTCTGTCTAGCTCCCGCTGGAGGTGAGGCCTGCTGAACACCACCCGAATATCTGTGGCTGTCACCCAATCCTGCAGGACTGGACTGCTGTCAAAGTCTTGGGCAGAGGGTCGTCCATCGAGGGTGCTGAATGCAATCAACCCCCCTGTCAAAGGGTAGAGGTCGGTGTATCCATCTGTACAGAGAGCTTCTTGCTCATTCTGCTTGGAAATAATTGCTTTGTTTGGCTTATTGTACATCTTGCGGCACTGTGAGGAATAATACTGAAAGGGAACCCAGTTCTTCCCATAGTCCATCGATTTAAATATCCCCATAGACTCTGGCCGAGGAGAGCAAAACTGCAAACTGACATAAGTAATTTCAAATTTCTTATTCAGAGAGAGAGTCAGTGTAACATTGTGCATGGGATTGTAAAACTCTTCTGACTGCCAACAGCTGAGGTTATGAGCATTGTTTAAATCGGTCAGGTAGGTGGCAGGGTGAGCGTTCTTGGGATCAGAAGCATCGCAGATCTGACACATCTTAGTCTTCACACCCATCTTCTCATTGAAGAAGCAATATCTGTTTGGAGGCCTCCCACACGTGCTGGACACCTGCACTTCCCTGGCAAAGCCAGCATTGACAAAATCAGGAATGCAGCGCTTAGGCTGCCCTCCTTCATCATAACAAGGATCCGAAGAGCTGTGCTGGGGGGCAAAAGCATTGAGAGCACAGGAAGCCCCAAGAATGAAGGCAAATAGCAGCACTAAACTAAATGGCATCATCAATATTCAGGATGAAACGTTTCCAAGAACAATACACAGTAGGATCTGCAAGAAAGAAGACAGGGCATCGTCAAATCAAACACAGTTACAATATCTTGAATAACATAATTTAAAAGATGTTAACTTGTCAATAAAAATACGTGAATGAAGAACAACAGTCCCAGAACCACCTTCTGCTTATGAAATTCCTCCTTTTTGTGTGGAAAGCTAAGTACAGACGATTGGGCCCATTTTGTACTACTGCCAATGTAGCCAAAGTGATCCACTAGGATCTCTCCCACTATATAGTTTGCATTACTGTAGCAGCTTACATGTGGTGAGACATTGCAGAGCACAAGATCCAGAGGGTGGAAAAAGAGATTGAGAATAAAGGAGGCAACTGCCTGACAGTGGCAGTTACATTCAAACACCCAAAGTATCTTGTCTAAATGAGGAGCTAATTACTGTAGTTAATTGATTCAGAATCACTCCATATAGGAAATGTGTTTAGAGAGACATGGATACTAGAGGGGTGGAGTGGCTTATTTACCACTCCCACTCCATTTTGATTTAATTCCTCTCCCTTTCTCCCTCACCTTTGGTGTAATTGTACTGTCCCTGATGGCCTTTGTGGGTAAACTGATCATTAACTAGAAATATGGGTGATTTAGTGGCGGTGGATAAAGATAGAAGGTAACACGGGTGATTTGGTGATGTCACAAAACAGTTCACTTCTGTGTAAAAGCATTTCTAAATAAAAAGAAAAGAAATAAGAAAGGGACTTTTACACTGCGTGATTGTTAAGGGCACATAATCTGTGCGAGTGGAGACTTTGAGCGAGACAAAGACTGAGTGAATATATTTGGGAATTTGGTACAAGTCATGTCTTTTCCATGTTCAATTTTAGAATTAAAGTCAGAAGCAGACATTAAAAATAGCCTAAATAAAAGGGGCAGCTACCTGATAGTGGCAGTTATCATTTGGGCATCTGAAATCCCTTGTCTAAATGAGATGCTGACCCTTGTAGCAACGAAGTGACTTTGAGCAGTTCTAAATAAGAAAAGAATTGTTACACCACATGGTTAGTAAGGGTATATGGTTAGTGTGAGTGGAGACTTTTTTTTAGAGTAGGTAAGACAAAAGCCCAATTAGTATATCTTAGAATTTGTTTTGGAGTGAGAATTTGGTGTATGGGGTGAATAAGGTGCTTTAAGTATGGCTTACTATAGAAGTAAAGCTTCCAGAGTGAGACGTGAGTGGGAGACAACAAAAGCCATGGATCAAGAGGCCTATCTTCTGTGACACCAGGGGCACAGTGAGGTAACAAATGCAATGTGATGCAAGTGCAGGGGAAGCATCAGATTGGTCAGTAGGATTGGTGAATATTTCTAGATTTTAATATAAAAAGAAGGTCTTCAGTTTGTATTTAGGTCTCTCTCCTTTTTCTTTTCTTTTTAAAACCACTTTTCAGTGGTTAGCACTGCTGCCTCACAGCGCCAGGGACCCGGGTTCGATTCCACCCTCGGGCGACTGTCTGTGAGGAGTTTGCACATTCTTCCTGTGTCTGCGTGGGTTTCTTCCAGGTGCTCCAGTTTCCTCCCACAGTCCAAAGATGTGCAGGCTAGGTGGATTGGCCATGCTAAATTGCCCGTAGTGTTCAGGAATGTGTAGATTAGGTGGTTTATAGCGGGACAGGCCTGGGTGGGATCCTCTGAGAGTCAGTGTGGACTTGTTGGGCCGAAGGGCCTGTTTCCACACTGTAGGGATTCTATTTCAAGTTGTCAAGTATAAGATTGATATTTGTGCATTTTAGAAAAAGGGAAAAAACTTTCAATAATGTATAAAGAGCAGAGATTCTAGAGTAATTAATTAATGAACTTAAAATATGATAGTGATGGCAGGACTGGTGATGTGTCACTGCTGCAACATGTGGGACCTGTTGAACAGCAAGGTGATCCAAGGTGAACTCATCAGTAGTACATGTAGCAAGGACAAGGAACTTCAGATCAAGTTGAGGAGTGGGAGTCTGAGCTGCAGACATTGCATCACATCAGGGAAGGGGAAAATAAACTGGACACCTGTCTCATAAGACCATAAGACATAGGAGCAGAATTTAGACTATTCAGCCCATCGAGTCTGCTCTGCCATTCAATCATGGCTGATAAGTTCCTCAACCCCATTCTCCCACTTTCTCCCTGTAACCCTTGATAATCAAGAACCTATCTATCGCAGTCTTAAATGTACTCAATGTCCTGGCCTCCACTGCCTTCTGTGCCAGTGAATTCCATAGATTCACCACTCTCTGGCTGAAGAAGTTTCTCCTTATCTCCGTTCTAAAAGGTCTTCTCTTTACTCTAAGGCTGTGCCCTCAGGTCCTAGTCTCTCTTACCAATGGAAGCATCTTCCCAACATCCACTCTGTCCAGGCCAATCAGAGTTAGCATTTCAGGTCCAGTGACCCTCCTTCCTGAAACGTTAACTCTGCTTTATCTCCATAGATGCTGCCAGATCTGTTAAGTTTCTCCAGCAATTTCTATTTTTGTTTCAGATTTGCAGCATCCACTATTCTTCGTTTTATTTAATTCGTTATCAGATTTGGCCTGTAATCAGGGACTGGAGGGTGCAACTGCAGGTGAGGCATGCATAGGGACCCAGGGAATAACACTCAAGGACCCTCTGTCCCTGCAACTGTCCAACAGTTACAAGGTTCTTACAGGGAACCATTCAAGTCAGGAAATAGGAATGTAGTAGTGGTAGAAGGTAACATAATTAGGGAACTAAATACATTAAGGTGAGAGGAGAGAGATTTAAAAAAGATATGGAGGCAAATTTTTTGCGCAGAGGGTGGTTTGCATGTGGAATGAATTTCCTGAGGAAGTGATGGATGTGGGTACAGTTACAACATTTAAAAGATACTTGGATAGATACATGAATAGGAAAGGTTTGAAGGGATATGGGCCAGGAGCAGGCAGGTGGGAATAGTTTGTTTGGAATTACGTTCAGCATGGACTGGTTGGACCAAAGGGTCTGTTTCCATGCTGCATGACTCTAACTCTGAGTTCCAGAGGTTATGTTGCTTGCTGGTGCAAGGTAAAAGATATCTCTTCAGGACTGGAGTGGGAGAAGAGGGATCTATTTGTCATAGACCATGTTGGTACTAATTATGTTGATAGGACTAGTATGGAAAGAATATGTTGAAAAAGCTTGAACTGTTCGGAATGAAATTAAAATTCAGAACCGCCAAGGTAATGATCTCTGGGTGACTACCTGGACCACCAGCAAACTGGCATAGAGTAAATAAAATCAAGGAGATACATGCATGCCTCAAAGATTGGTGTGGGTGTTCATGGGGCATTAGCACCAGTACCAGGGTAGAAGGGAGCTGTACTGATGAAACAGTCTTCACTTGAACCATGCCAAGACCAGTATTCTGATACATCAAATACCAGGGCTGTAGAGTGGACTTTATTTGAGAAAAATAACGACTCAAGTTAATGGGATATTTTTGTTGCACACTCACTACTTCTGTTGTGTATCTCCAGTCCAGATCCAAAACAGCAGCCTGTTAATAATTTATCTTTTCTCTTCTGCTGTTAACTGAATTGCCTCTGAAGCTGTACATCTTCATCCAACCCCACAGACCCCCCCACCACCACCACTCTGACAGTTGTTACAGTGAAATGTGAGACGGCTTCAGACAGTTTCAATTCAATATCTATGGAGTAAAAATTCTCACAACATCATCATTGATGTTAAATAAAATTTGAAATGCATTTCAGTTGAAAACATCATTTAGAATGATTGGAAACTGAAGCTCGTGCCAGGTGCAACAGGAATGGACAATGCTAGACACACAAAAACAGCCTCATATCAGTGTCCCATGGCAATACCTTTATGAGTCGGATGCCAACAAGTAACAGAGACATGTTCCAATCCACAGCACTGACACACTTTCACTGACAGGTACACCAACACAAAAAAAAGGGGCACCAAAGAGCAAAAACTATGTCAGGAAGATCATGAAAGTTCCTAGATTTAGCAAAGAGAAGGTCAAAAAAAATCATAGATTAATAGAACTGCAGAATGGTCACAGCACACAAACAGACCATTCAGCCCATTATGTCCATGGAATTGCTCTGCAAGAGTAACTGACTTAGTTTCATTCCCTGCTCTCTCCCTGGGGCCCTGGGTATTTTTTCTCTTCAGATAATTAATCATTCAATTCCCATTTAAAACACATGACTAAGTCTGTCAATACCACACTGTCAGTCAATGCATGTATTCCAGATTCCAACAATTCACTGCATGAGAAAGCTTTGCCTTTTTTCTTTTATCAATCACCATACATCAATGTTTTCTGGTTCTCAACCCTTCCTCTAATTGGTACAGTGTTTTGTCATATACTCTGTTTAGACCCCTCTATCAAATTACTAAACTCTTTCTTTTCTAGGGAGAACAACTCCAGTTTCTTTAATCTATATCTGTAACTGAAGTCTCTAATCCCTGGAACAATTCTTGTAAATCTTTCCTACATTCTCTTTAAAGCTTTCAAATCGTTTCTAAAGTGAGGTACTCAGAATTGGACTCAGTATTCCAGCTGAAACTGAACAAATGTTTTATAAACTTTTTCCATCACTAAAGCCCATGTTTTATTTTTGCTTTCTCAACCACCTCTGCAAATTTAAATAATGTGTGCATATTTAACCCCAAGCCATCTTCTTGTCACTCCTTCAGAATTATATACTGTTTCTCCTTATTGTTCCAATTAAAATTAATCATTGTATATTTCATTTCTTGAAATTTCATCTGCCACACATCTGCCTATTCCACCACTAAAATAAAACAAAGAACTGCAGATGATGAAGATCTGAAACAAAACAAAAAATTGTTGGAGAAACTCAGCAGGTCTGGGAGAATTAATGTTTCAAGGCGTATAGTCATATAGCATAAAAACAAACCCGTCAGTTGAACTCATCTGTGCAGACCAGACATCCCAATCTGACCTAATCCCATTTGCAAGCATTTGGCCCATATCCCTCTAAACTCTTCCTATTCATACACCCATCC